CTGCAGGGGAACCAGGAGGAGGATATGGGCAAACCCAACTTCGCAGTGGTTCAGGGCGCCCCCTCACCCAACATTGTGAGCCAAGGAAGGCAGGGGTGTCTCTGAAGGGGTTAACCCCACCTGGCGAGGAAGCAGGGGCAACTGCCCCTCTCAGGACCCCCAGGCTCTGGGCCACATCTGGGCAGGGAGGGCCGTGGGAAGCCAAAGGGCTGTGCGCCTGCCCTGCTCGCCGGGGAGCCCACCCAGCACTCAGAGTCCAGAGCACAGACCACCAGTAGGTTGGGGAGGGAGCACTTCGAAGCTCACACAAGAGGCAGATGTCTTCCCTCACCCCTTGTCCCCTCACACACACACACACACACACACACACACACACACACACACACACACGGCACCCTGATTCTTGCAGGGACAAGGGGTCATGCAGCTTCAAACCTTCAGGTTTCTTTTTAACTGTCATTTCAGGGGCTTCAGCAAACCTATGGGGTTCCAGTGCCTTCCTCAATGACACCTCAGGGTGTCCAGGACTGACCCCAGGCTCAGAGAAGGGCCTCCCTCCTTTATCCTGGTAAATAAAGGGCCATGTGCATTGAGGGTCTAATTAACTCTTTCCTTCTCTCCCCGACACAGGGCCCTGGAAAGGTGGGCAGACAAACTCCTGGGTCGGGTAGGAGCCCTCCTGGCAGGCGCCTGGCCTGGACGGTCCCTCGGCCCTCCCCAGGCAGCACTGAACTGCAGGGGCCGGCCCTGGTCCCGAGAAGACACAAAAGGGAGCCTGGGGCATTCTCGGAGCGGCCTCCCGCCCGGTATCCTGAGTCCGGGCTCCGGTCAGCACCGTCCCCACCCTGACTACGGGCAGAAAAAGGAGACTTCCTGGGGGGTGGAGGGGGGGCGAGGGGGCTGCCGGCCTCGCCTTTGTCCGCAGCTCCGGAGGCCCCGGGCCCCCGCCGCCGCCGGCACCACAGCCTCCCCGCGCGGGTCGCCCACCAGGCCCGCGACCCAGCAGGCCCCGAGCTCCCCGGCGCCGGCTCCGGAAGCCCGGCCGCAGAGAGGGCGGGGCGGAGGGTCCCGTCCGGGCGCGCCGGGGTCCGCAAGACTGGGGCCCGGACCCCGCGGCCTGCGTGGCTCTGTCACCCGAGCGGACTACTGTTTCTGAGACCGGGAGCCCGGAGTCCTTTCTGGTAGAGTGACCACATTCTGTGAATAGAAGGAGTTGGCTGGGGAGGGGGCCTTGCTAGAATTGGCGAGGCCCTTCGGATCCAGATCCTCTCTGGTAGACTATGCACCCTGTGCTGGAAGAGAGTGGAGGAGTAGAGGTGAATCACTTTGCCTTGTGCCATTCTGAAACAGTCGATTGTCAGGTACGGTGATCACCTC